GGTTATGAAAAGAGTTCTTAGGGTTGGAGAAAAAGAAATGAGACAGCAATAAAACCAAATGGGGGACTATACAATTAAAAATATTAGACCTGAAAACTCATTGATGTATTAGGTACAGTAGCTTCCATAATTATAGTGGGATTTGCCTTACCTTCCCTCCTCATTTTAAAGTAATCTCATTGAGGTCAAGACCATCTCACTCATTTCTTCCATCCCTTATAATAAAGAAAAAAACCATGCCTTAGACAGAGTAGGAATTCAGTGACTTGTTAAGTTAGATACTTTCTGTGGAAGAGATTATTGTTAATATAAAATGAGTAGTAGGAATTCCCACCCAGGATAGTGTAATTTCAAATAAATGCAGTGTATGTATGTTCCACCCTATCTCGCTATCACTAAACACAGTTGGCTCTAGAAAAACTGTATTTTTAAAGCTACATTTTCCTTTTCTTATCTTGTTCCCTTTGGAAATCTAGTTTTGCTAGGATTGAAGGGAAGATACTGTAAATGCAGAGAAAAAAAGCTTTTGAAAGATAAAAAACTAGCAGGAGGCTCATCAGAAGCAGGAAGCATATGGGTGGAGCTGACTGGTACCCTGGATGCCAGCTCTTAGATCCAAGGCAGATGGGCTCATCTCCACCCTGTAAATGCTTGTGTCTGGCCAGTAATCACACAGCACAACAGCCAGATTCCAGCAGTGAAAGACAGAGGAGAGAGACACTTTTTTCCTGGCATTTATTGCTCTTTGGATGCTATCTGCACTGAAAATTTAGATTAAATTAATATTACTGGCTATATGCTCTGTATACTATGGGTATATAGTGTTGTCTTGGTTGCTAGCCACCTTGGGTGGTATGGTTAAACAAATTGTTGCCTTAGCCACCAAACACATTGTTAGTATAAACTCTAACTTATTAACTTCTTCCCCTTCCTCTTCAGAAAACTGCTCTGATAGGATGTGCTACACCACTAGGTTAAATGACCTAGAAGTGAGTTAGCCCATTTATTTTAAGGATAGATACATACCTACCACTCTTACTTTCTCTTGTCGACTCACTCCCATGTGGTTATAGACTGTTCACTTACCAATCAAGTCAATGGTCTATAACTGAAAATGCTGGGTTTTATGAGATGTGAGAAGACCTAGAAGGTCTTCCTCCTGCCCTTAACCTTCCTGACATCCTTCCTGGCTTAACACAATCACTTTTTCTAGTGAAATCCAAGTGGTAATTTCTGTGCATTGAATAACCTCTCTCTATGTTTAAAAATGGTGAACTGCCCTGAAAAGGCAATATATTGCCAAATATTATTAGCATGAATTTATAAAATTAAGAGAGAGACGGGACATGAGACTCCTAAACAGCAGACCAGGGGAGGGGCTGAAAAGGCAAGAAATGAAGAGGGGCTGTAGTCTCTGAAGGGTTCACTTAGGACTGGCCCCAGGACAGTAGCTGCTAAGCAGGAGATTCTATGTCCTTCACATAAACCAAGCAAAGAAGAGGGACTGCAATAAACAAAAGAACAGGTATAGATTTGCATGCCAGTAACTCTAGGTGTTCACAGTTAAAATATAATTAGTGCAGTTTTAAATTTTACTGATTAAATTCTGCAGAACATCTGCATATGTCCAGGGGATATGGATACTAAAAGCCACTGGAATTTTGTTTTCTATTAGGCGTAGACTGACTGATCATGTGGACAATTTATGTTTTTGGTTATAAGCTGTAAGTCTTTAGATTTGAAAGCATAGTGGCTTTGTGTAACTGGATGCAATTATTGCCAAGAGGTTTAAGTCAACTTTCTAGCAATGTTTTACAGATTACTTTAAAAGAAGCTGTGTGTGAGAGGCTTGGTCATATAAGGATTCTAAACTCAATCATTTCTCCCTTCACTTGGTTTAGATTATTTCCAGTTGATCTGTATTTTCTACTTTCTAAAGTTAAATGCTGCATTTTTCTTAATCCCAACATATGTGATTAAAAATTCATCTAATTAGGTATATTGGTTTAGAGAGTTATCCCCCTGTTACTCACTTAGCAAGAAAAAAGACATCGGGAAACCTGCCAAGTGAGGGGGTAAACGTTGGAAGTGGACTTGCATGCTGTTGAAAGGTTGTTCATTGTTGTAGGAATATTTGGAATGGATTACTGGTATAGTCAGTTCTCGAGTGTGAAATACCAGACTGTCTAATACAACATTTTAGAAGAAATTAATAAAAGATGAATGTGAAGAAAAATGCATCTTCATAAAATATAGGGTGATCTCAGCTATTTATTCAAGGACTTTAATTTTTTGCTTTATAAAAAACGTGTTCTAAAATTTTGAAACAGAAATGTACCTCAAAATACCTTAATTCATAACTTTGAAGAAGTCTGAGAGGCATGACCAAAATTAAGTCAATTTGTAATTCTTAGCATTTAGTCCAGTGTCTCATCGGAAGCAGAGGGCCGTGTATTAGTAACTATTCTTTGTTGAATGAATGAACGGCCTGCTGACCACATTTAACTGGCACTTTTGGTTTATGTACTATGTAATTTTAAACTAATTACTAGATCCCATCAAAAAATATTTTGAGCTTAAGTTTTCTCCAAAAGTATTTTATGAAAAATAACCTTAAAAATAAAGGTCCACAACAAAGATACACAATTATGGATAATTTTTATTTTGTTCTTTCTGGTTTGTGTATTTTTCAAATTTTTAACAAAAATGTTACGTAGCTAAATTTTTTTCAAGATACATGCCCAAAAACTCTCTTAAAAATGAAATATGAATTTCACTTCTAATAACTAATATCTCATCTGTGATGTAAACTGGTATTACATTAAAGGCTACTTTTAAAACTAATGTAATTATAACCAACAGCATTTCCAGGGTTAGTTAATTTTATCTTCTGACATAGAAACTGAGTTAATGTTCCTGCCACTGATACAGAGCAATGTGACTTCCATTTCATAGTGTTGAAAATGATTATCCTTTTCTGAGAAACAATCAGATGCCAAACTGAATGCCAGCTTTCTTCTTGCAAGCATAATCATAGTGTTTTTATTATTAAACATTTATAAAAGTTGGGTAAAGTTTGTAAGTCTTTTATGAGGTGGGTTGTTTGAGTCTCCCCTGTCCAAGTATAATCATATTTGAACAACTTAAATAAAAATAATCCCTTGTGCCCCCTGATAGGAATGAAATACTGAACCTGGGTGGATGGATATGCTGAGCCACAGTGGCACTTGGTGGTTGAATCCTGTGACTAATCACAGAGATTTGTGTTTGGGTAGATCACATGGACTTAGTTATCTGCCCACTGGAATGACACAGTAGGGAGATATCTGATGAACATTGTGGAACATCTGTGAATGGATCACAGCTATGCCATCTGATGTGAATCATTCTTCCCTCAAAAATCTAAAATTTAATAGTTAAGAAATTCCAAGCTGTTGTCACAGAAACTGAAATGTTTGGCTTATTCTAGGAGTTGGGAGGAAATGAATACAACACCTACTCTAAGACATTTTTGCCAGTAAGTTGTCTGGCTATGTTTTAACCCTCTAAATTTAGGACAGCCTAAAAACTGGTTAGAAGTCAGCAGTGAGAGCCCTGGGTCATGGCAAGTAATCAAAGGTACCTCCTTCAACTGCCACCTTCAGAGACCACAAGACTCAATCATTTTCTTGATCAGGGGAATAGATTTCCTGCCTTTAAATTGCACAGGCTTCGTTAAAAGTGTGCAAACCACGATGACAGCAATGCTCCTACCCCAGAACATCTATGACTCTTAAGGGATCTTGGGGGCATTTGGTGTGCAGCTCTTTCAGTGACAGTTTTCTTTAGGGTGCTATGACAAGCAATGAAAAAAAGCAAAACCGAAGGTTTCTGTGGGGCTCGCCAGATGTGGAACTATGGCTTCCTAGGCACTGCTCATGCTGCTGTTGCAGGCTTTCCGGGTCTGTAGGTGCCTGGTTATTGAGCTGGGGTGGTGAGTAGGAGGGTAGCTAAGTCTGCTTTTATTCCAGTTCCAGGAGTCCCCTGCTACCTCTGCATGACCTGAAACTTCTAACATTGCCTTGTAGTTTGACTTTTTTCCTCTGACATTTTGACGTATCTACCTTTGTTTCTTTTGGTTCCTCCTTTTGAATCTGCATGAAGTCTGTTTACCAGGGATGTTTACAAATAAGAGCGTGTTTGTGTGTGTCTTTGTATTTTGTGACATGTGAGCAAGTTGTGGTGGGTGACTGCCAATAAATAATAAACATATTTAGAATTTCACAAGTATTATAATGAGAATGTTTTAGCTGTGGCAAACATTTTTAAGAACTTTAAAGAACGAGAAGTATTTGTAAGTTTGAATTGTATGGAATATGTACATATCTGTTTGACAGTGGTGCGGTCAATGGTGCCAGCCCCGTGAGAGCACAGTGATGGGTTGTAGTCCAAAAGAGGTGCGCCACAATCCTTAAATTCTAGGCTTTGTGGGATGTTAGAGAAATAAATCTGTAAATGGAAGAAGAAATGAAACGTATGAAATGTGATATGTTCCTAGCAAAGACTAAATTAATTGGATTTTCCCTACAAAATATCAAAAAGTATATGTGTCCCTATTGTTTTGTTTTAAAATAGATATACAACCATTGTTTTGCATTGAAATGGATATTCATACATTTTATATGCTATTTGGGGGAAATGAAGGGTTTGTTTTTTTTTTAAGGAAAGCATGAAGAAGACTACATAAATGGGAATAATACTGTATAAAATCACCAATAGTTTATTTTCTGAACTTGAAAACAGTTGTTTCTAAACACAAGGACAACAGTTTTGCCTAAATTTGCAGTATGATGACCAGTATAATGACTTCTCTCCTTTTTAGAGAAGCAGTCAAGTGTTTCTGGAACAGATAAGACAGCAGCGATCCAGTGAGGTTGATTCCTTACAGAGGAAAGCTGTGCATACCGAACTTAATGCATGGTAAACTGCTCTTCCATTCATTATGTCCTCTTTTTGTCAAGGTGTCCAAAGACAGGAGGTGGTCTGCAAAAGGCTTGATGACGGCTCCATTGTCCAGAACAAGTACTGCGACCCTGACAACAAGCCTCCTGAAAATCAAAGGACCTGCAACGCTGAGCCCTGCCCACCTGAGTAAGTAACAGAAGTGCGAATTGTGTTTTTCAGGTACAAAAAGTGCTATTAGATATTCACATTTGGAAACACATATTCATATTATATGAATAAGTTAAACTGAGAAAAGGGATAAAACATTATTCCTTAGTCCACTGACAGAGGGTGGAATTTTGATGTGCCTTTCAATGAGTAAAGATTCCTGTTTATTCATAGGTTTCATTAACTCCTCTAAAGCAGAAACTTCAGTTGATTAATCATGGCACAGTGCTGGAAATTACATTTCATTAGTTGCTAAGACTCAAACACCCTTTGCCCTTTTAACATATCTCTAATTGGTATTTATCTTGCAACTAATGGTGTCTTACAAAAATAATTTGCATTGTTTTTCTTTCTTAATGGTACATAAAATAATGGTATCTGAGAGTCAGTAAAATATAGTAATTGGTATGCAGTCCTGCCTTCTCCAGGTATATATCCTAAAGGCCCAAAGACTTTAAAATGGCTTGGAGGTATCCTGAAACAGAACTTGCTGGCCCTGTTTTCAGCTCTGTCATCCTAGGCATCCTCTCCGAGTGGTGGGCACAGGACGGAGGTGTACTCCGGCCTCTTTCTGCTGATTAACGTAGCAAGTACAGCTCACTGTGAGGGAGGCACAAAAAGAGAGAGCCATTCATTGCTAAGATGACTTTTAAAGAATTAAAATTTAGAAATATGAGACCTGCTGTTGATGAGCCACATTTTATAATCTGTAAGAACACAGGTTTCTTCTTTGAGCAAAGGGCAGTGATTGTGTGAAAGAAGACAAAGATGCTGAATGGATCATAAAAACACCAATCCTGGTGTGGATTTTGCCTGTTTGACAACCGCAAGCCAGAACATGTGTGAATGGCACTTCCTTCTTGTTTCAGAGTAACCATTGTCTTCCAGGTTTACTATTATAATTATCCTGACATGATATTAATACAGAAAAAGAGAGCAAGCAAAATGAATGTCTATACTCCAGGGTCTGTAGAACTGGAGAGGAAAATAAAAGAGATTACTCTACAATAAAGTAGTCTCTTTTTCTGAAACCAACTACAGTGGAGTCACAAAACCCTGGGAATTACAATGAGTAAGGAATTCAGGCCCCTATCACAGTTAAAGCAAAATGCATTTCTCAATATTTGTTCAAAACAACAATGCCACAAGAACTTTCATTATCCAAAACCAACGTCTGCCTAAAATATTTGACTTTCTAAAGGAAATATTCACCACTTGTCTCTTGAAAAGGTTCCAGCAGTGGTTACAAATAAAGACACAGGGAGTCTAGAGTGATAGGAGTTTTTATTTTAAGAATTTTAAAATTTCATGTATCCTCTCTCCAAATGTGCTCACTATGTCACTCATTCCTTAAAATACAGATATGGGAAAGTATAGTAATATGACCTATGATAAGTATTATGGAGACAATATATTTGCTTTTTTTCCTTTTTACCAATTATTTTTGTTTATCTCAAGAGAAACTGAAAAACTATGTAAAACAGGCGATGCTTAAAAACCACAAGCTAAATTTGGAAGTTTTCGATAATTTCAACACATTTGCACATAATTATGAATCTCTACCCATCAACTTAGTTCCCTGCCACTCAGGATTTTAAGTCTTATGTTTGGCATTTGATCCACCATTTAGGGCATCTGAGTGGGCCTGGTCAGTCACTCCTGTTCTGTTTTGGCCTCAGCTTTTTTATTTGTTTAAGCTGAAATGCTAATCAAATATCCTATGAATTTTCAATAGTTGGTCATTATATCTCATGTATTTTAGGCTTGGCTATTATGTGGGAATGAGTGTGTGTGTGTGTGTGTGTGTGTGTGTGTGTGTGTGAACACTTTAAGGATATATTTGAACTAACACACATAATTAAAATTAACTTTCCTATTTCCTTTTGATTTCTGAAATGAAAAGTTATTAACTTCTTTAAAGTTTGAAGGTGAGGGAATGGAATTTGAAAAACAAAGATAGAATATAAGAAAGAAAATTGAGGCTGACAGTTTTCTTTTTTGGAAAGAGCTAAAGAACATGTTTAAAATGTTACTCTTTATTAGTCCATTTTTTCCTTAGTTCCTTTTAAATATCTTCTCTATTCTTTTGAATACAGACTATGAAAAAGGAAATGTCAGTTCTTCAGAATGGTCCTTGTATGCAAGATCCCCAGTAGATGTGGGTATTATAGAGATAAAAGTCACAGAAAGACTACTGAATTCAGTAAGCCTGCAAATGGGTGTGGAAGAAAGGAAAGGAGATAGGTCTTTTTGGATGCTGTAATAATTGTATTTGGTGTTGTATTGCATATTGAAACATGACATTTTTAAGTGCAGATTAGTAAAAAAATATATAAAACACCTATAATGCTTATAATACCACTTTAAATACTTTTATGTCTCTATTTCCAGTCTCTTTGTATATAGACATGTGTATGTTAAAAAATGGTATAATAATATTTATGATGCTTTGTAGTCAGTTTTCAACATATTTTGAACATTAAGTATCTCCTACAATGTTCAGTAGATATGTCATTGTTTATTTAAATTGGCTTCCCACTGTCAAATAATTTTGGTTGTGTCCTAGCTTTTAATCCTTTACAATACCACAGCATTAACCATTTTTGCTACTAAAACTGTGCTCTCTATAATTATGCCCTTATACTACTTGCATAGGAATAGAATTTCTGGTTCAAATGGAAATATGTCTTTGTCCATCAGATGCATTGTCAAATTGCTCTCTAGAAAGAACACATGAATGTGTATTCCCATTAATAGTATAAAAGAATGTCATTCCCCTGGACTGAAAACCCTGGGTATTATTACTTTAAAAACCACCTTTGACTATTCTGTAGGAAAAAAAGCCTTGGTATCTAATTGCTGTTTCAGTTAGTATAGCTTGGATCGCCCATGAGGATGAATGTTAAAAAATTTAAGTCCAGTGGCCATTTTATTACTTCTATTTTTGCTTTTTCTTTTCATAGCCTGGTTTTTTATTGAAAAGAAAGTCTATCTCATTTTTATATTGAAGTTCCTATCATTTTGCTATTGATTTGTATGAATTCTTAATGTATTAGGATATTAACTCTTTTATCTGTGTTCCAAATAATTTTTTTTAGTTTGTCATATGTTTTTCATATTATTTAAGGTATCATGATCTATTTTTATTTACTAGAGTTTAAAAATATTATATAGAAATACTATCAAATATTTGTTTCTTTTATTGGTACAATGTTTAGGAATGCCCTACCTACTCTTACATTATACTTTCAATGTTTTTTAATGAAAACTTTAATCTATCTAAAATATATTTGAGGAAAGGATTATATTTATTTACAAATATTATTGTTTCTTCAATACCATTAATTTAAAATCCTAAATGGTATTTTCTATCAAAAACTATCTTTTCAAATTATGAAATGAAATATTTCAAATGTCTTTTAGTCACATTGGAGACTTTACAAGTATAGTATAGAAAAATAAAAGGCTATAAGATTTGTTGTATAAAGAAAATGATAGGAGATTATAAAAATAAAAGAGATGTTGGTAGAGAAATAATAATAGTAGCAATAACAATAATAATTTATTTGGAAGATCTTGAAAGGCCAGAGGAAGCCTTACTGGGAAAATTTTGAAAATTCCAGCCTTACTGGAAAAATCAGAGCAGCTACTCTTGGAAGAAAGAGTAGTCAAATGGGGGGGAGACTCGGGACAGGAAGAAAACAAGGGCTCCAGAGACACTGAATGAAAATGGTAGAATTAAAGGCAAAGGCTGAAGCAACTGGAAAAGGGGCAAGGGAGGAGTCAAACTAAAGAGCATGACTGACAGGAAGCATGACTGATAGGAAACCACACCATAAAAAAGGAAGTAATGCTGAGTTGGCATCCAAAGAGAAAGGTCAGGAGTTCAGTTCTGACCTTGCTGTCTTTTAATAGCAAGAATGTTTCTATAAATGACTTCATATGAAGAACCCTTAGATACTGAATATTATTCCTGTATGAAACTGTGCAAAGGCAAAAACAGTAGAGTGCTGTACATTGTGATAATACTGTGATCAAGAATTAGAAGACATTTTTTAAGCAATGTAGAAGGCAGTGTGCTTTGGGAGAAATGGTTCCTTAAGAACAATCTAACTGGTCAAATTCATATAAAAATAATTATAGTACAAGGCAAAATATGTAAAGTACGGTGAGTGAGTTATAAATAAAAGTTGCTAAAAGATTTTCAGACTAGGGAGAGATTTTTACCCAGGGGCTGGGTTTTATTTAATGGTATCTTTTATGGTATAATGTTTAACAATTTTTTGAGTCATTGCCCCCCCCAAGGACAACTATAATCAGTTACCTTTAGAAAAGGATTCATCACAGTCCTCTATAAAACTCCAAACTTTAAGACCAAGGAAGAATCATAGAAATCATTTTACAGATGAGGGTATGCTGATCTCCAGTAATGTTTTTCCCATTATTCCAGACATTACTAACTCTGTAAGTTATAAATCAAATGTCTGGTGACACTTTAATTATTCTAATTTTGTTTTATCAACACATTCTCAATTGCCACAATTTCAGAGATATTTATTATATCAATTATTTTTAATTTAGAAAAACCTTGACTATGGAATGTTTAGGGCATAGAGGCTTCTATTTAATATTAATTTCACTCTCCAATTAGCTGAGGAAAGAAATTTTCTTTTCCTTTTTCTCTTTTTATTTACCAACTTTTTGTTTTGAAAATTGTTCTAAAAAGTATTTTAAAAGCTAGGAAAGTTTAAGTATCTTAGTAAGTAGTTAATAAGTTACATACTTGAATCTCTGACTAAAGATGTTAATGTCAAATTCTGAAAATTTGTTTTTTCTACATGGTATTTATATAAAAAAGGGTAGATAACTAGACTTTTAACTCAGGGATAAAGGCTGGGACGTCTCAATATCCATCCCAACCTTTTATTTTCTCTCTCACACACACACACACAAACACACACACACACACACACACACACACACACACACACAAAATCCAAATATGTAATAGCAATTTATTTTCATGTGCTCTGCTATTTCCCTTTAAGGTAAAAAAACAAAAATAATATTCTGATCTTATGATGAATTCTTTCTCATCATCATCCAGGTTGGGGCAAAGTATTTTTATAGTGTCTCTCTTATTCTCTCATCTCATTAATACTACTCTTTGTGCCCTGGCTGGTGTAGCTCAGTTGGTTGAGTGCAGGCCTGCGGACCAAAGGATCGCAGTTCGATTCCCAGTCAGGGCACATGCCTGGGTTGCAGGCCAGTTTCTGGCAGGGGACTCACAAGAGGCAACCATACATTGACATTTCTCTCCCACTCTCCTTCCCTTCCCCTCTAAAGATAAATAAATAAAATATTTTTTAAAAAAGACTGCTCTTTGTCCTAATGTACAGAGACCGCAGATCACAAACACAGGCTGCACCAAGCAGCTCTTCCCCCAGACACTCCAGCATGAATCCCACTAATTGTTAGTGTCTAGCGGACAGGAGGAACTTGTGAGGATGAAAGCAGTTCGACCACTGGGTCTTCAGCTCAGAAAGAAACAGCCCTGGTCGTGTTCAGACTCTAATGACTCAGCAAGTGGTGTTCCCAAAGGATTTGTTCCCTCAGATTTTTACCACTGAATCTAGCGGAGGAAAAGAAAAGAAACAGGGAGAAAGTCATCGGAGTGTCAAGTACATGGAGAATGAAGGCGGAGGACGCAGTCTGTCTTAAACCGGACAGGGGAGTGGAGAAAATGAGACAGATGCAGGGGTAAAACTGCAACACTATTCGAATAACTAGTGTGTGATTTAACCCTTCAGACAGACACAGGGATGATTTGCTGAGCAATAAAGGTGCAACAGGAACTGAGTGTGAAGCCCAAAATTAGTTACAGTGAGAAGGGAAACCGGGCGGGTGGCTAATACTTTTACGTGCCTACATTTCGAGTTAAATGCTAGAGTGACACATCTCAGCTAAGATGGTTGGCAATAAAAGAGAGGACAAAGAATGAAAAGGCAGAGGTGGCCCTGACCTCGTGCAGCAAAGACCAGCAACACCTCCTGAATCATTGCTGTTACTCTGGGCACCTGTGTTTAATTTGAGGGCCTTTATCCCTCGTACATTATGGGACCTAATGAGATCATGGCTGGAGGTGGTATGACTGAACACTTTGTGGCGGAGTTACACACATTTCTGTTTTATCCCCTAATCTTGGTGATGAAATCACTGTTGCGAATTGAATCAGAGTTTCACTATGGCTGGCATGAAAGTTATTATTCTCAGTACACATTTTCCTCTTTACCAAAAATGGTACTAACAACTTGGAATCATGATCATCTGTGGAAAACAAAACAAAGATGAAAACCACTTTAAATCTTCTCTGCAGAATGACTTGGAAAAAGTGTTAATGTCAGGTTTTTTAAATTCAGGATTAATTTATTATTCATTAAATCAATTCTAAGTAGAAAATTTTTAGATTTTTGATGAGATATATTTTACATTGAGAAGCTGGTTAATTATGGTCTTCTAAATGCTGGTCTCTCTGTAAGTAAAGACATTACAAATAATGAACAAAGGCCATTGTGGCTTATTTAGCTAAATGCAGGTTCAAATTTAGGTTACTAGTACTCTGACTTCACTAAGGTGCTATCTTCCCCATACAAAACTGGCACAATGAGCTAAGCTTTCAGAAAGCTATTTCAGAAATAGTGAGAAATTTGTTCTTAAGCTTTCAGAGTCTTCTCTCTCTCTGGGTAGTTTTCCACCCAAAAGCATGAGCACATCCCTTGATGATAGTTGCCTGATTTATAGTCATGAATTGAAGAAAAAGTCTGTGACATCATGCTTGTGACCAAGAGTCTACTATGTAGCAGTGTTAAAAGTGAAACTCAGCGGAAATAGCAACTGATGGGGAATCAAGTCCTAGTTCCACCATTGCTCTTTTCATGCCTTTGGAGAAAAGTTTTCTAACACAGGGTTTTACTTTCTTCTTCTGTAAAACAATGCACAATGCTTGGAACACAGTAGGCATTCTGCATATATGTGTTAAATGAAAAATAATAATATGTCAGCCTGGACTCTGGTTGGAAATAATACAAGTTCAATTCCAGCTAACTTCAGCACATACGAAGGTTTGTTGGTTTGTGTAACAAGGCTGGGGGAGCTGTAAGAATGCACCTAGCTTGAGGAATGGCTAGAATCAAGGCTCAAGCACCATTAGGACTCTGGCTCCTCTGTGTTCTTTCACATCACCTAATTCCACTTCACAGGGGACGTGGCCACCAGCAGCTCTTACCTTCATGACTAGAAAGAAAAGGGTACCCTGTGCCCTAGTCAGGATAAAAAAATTCTAAAGCCAAATTCTCATTGGTCTGATTTGAATCATGATTCACAGCTCTTGGACCAATTACTACGCCTCAAAGAGTGAGCCCTGCAAAAGTATCTGCCACACACACACACAAATCCTGAAATTATATGTATATGCATATATATGGTCACTGATGACTTCAAGGAAAAGGAAAGATGTTCATTTTGTTAAGACATTACTGTTTCTTCCCACATTTGCTGTGCAGAAGCTATTTTTAGCAGTAAAGTGATCCAAGCAAGAGCTCTCTATGCTTCCACAGGGCCAGCTCAGGGCTCTCCTCCTGCTGCAGGTGTTTTAAGACTGTCATGTCTTCAGGATGGGTTCCTGGGCCTTCTTACCCCTGTAAGGACAGGAGAGGCCTCCTGTCTTCTACAGAGCCTGGTGTTCACTTCTGGGAATCAGAACAAACCTTTAAGTTTTAGCATAAAAATCCTCAATTATGGGAGAAGCTGCCCCAACGTAATAATAAAAAGGGCTACTGTTGTATGTTAGACCCTCCGTTTGAAGCTCTCAGTGGTGTGCTGAAGCCAGTTAGTATTAGCTCCTAACACCCCACTAGTAGCATATCTATTCTTCTGGTGTTAACTGCATCTCGGAGATAACCTGAATGGTCACAGGGAGGTATTTTATACCATGAAAATTGGCTAACACAACAAATCGGGTCTCCCTCCCTCCTACGAAAAGCCAGTCATTAACCATTTACCAGCACTTGACTGGCAGCTTTGAATATTACTTAATCTTTGTGACAGTCTCATGATCCTATTGTTATCCTCGCTTTAGAAATTCATAAAGAAGGAGAAAAATCAGAGAGGTTAAAAAATACAGAGTGCATTACCTACTTGGACATCATTCTGCCTGCTGCAGAACCCATGCACTGCACTTGCGGTGGCAATTGACAAGAAGTTATCTCTTAGCAGTTCTTCCATTTGTCATTTGTCATATCAACAACACTGAAATGTCAGCTCTTGCAGGAAAAGGATGTAGTCCATTGGTAAAAGTGCCTTCACTCAGCTGAGAATCTCTGGCTATACTGAGGAAATGCTTTTCGGTGTTTCTTCCCCTTCTTGCTGCAGGTGGTTCATCGGGGATTGGCTGGAGTGTAGCAAGACCTGTGACGGTGGAATACGCACGCGGGCGGTGCTCTGCATCAGGAAGACTGGACCTTCTGAGGAGGAGACACTGGACTACAGTAGTTGTTTAACACACCGACCTGTTGAAAAAGAGACCTGCAACAACCAGTCATGTCCACCCCAGTGGGTGGCTTTGGATTGGTCAGAAGTAAGGAAATCTGAGGCTGTGTGTTGTGAGATGTCTTAACTATTAACAGCAAAGCATTTAACATTAAGGACAACTGAGCACGTGAGCATCTTAGAACACAATAAGTAAGGACTGTCAAACAGTGAACTTGGCCATTCTATATTTTATTGCTGATTATCAGGCAGTATGGGGATTTTTTTGTGGGGGGCAAGGAAGTCAGTGAATTTAAAAAAGTGTTCTAGTGAGTACTCATCCAAGTGGTTTTTCTTCCTTATTATTCTTGAACAGCCTCACAAGCCCACAATCCGGGACATGTTATATCTTTTTTTTCCTAAGTAATGTTCCAGCCTAACTACATAACTCAGACATGAATCTTTGTCAACTGTTGTCACTTGTTATATATCTGTACATGTTTTAATTCCTTCTTCTGAATCAGGAGAAGAAACCTCATACCAAAAAGACAAATTTAGATTTTATCATTACCTCCATTTAAATGAGCAGTGAGGAAGGCCTAAGATAATGTTTTTCTGAAGTACATGTATATAAAAGACCCCAATATAATCCAGAGGCCTCAGAAAAATGGTCTCATGAAAAAAGAGGTAAGAGGTAGAGTTAATTCTTAACTCCTCGTTCTGCGTGAAACATGCACATGTGCACACTGTACCATTCTCCACATTTCCCGAGGAGGAGCTGAGTCCCTCTGTGGTGGTGGTGAATGGGGAGAAGGATGAGTCCTGGTTATAGAGCTAGAGGTCATTCTTCTAGGTGGCACCACAGGATGCATTTCCTGCTGAACACATGGTGGTACTTGCTTTAGGTGTTTCCTGTAGACCTCATAAGTTTGTCAAAAAATAAACAAAAAACAAATTAAACATTGTTATTTAGAAACCTCTGGGTGTAACCTTTCCCCCTGTGAATCTTATTGCCTGAGTGGCCTTATTTAGCTGGAGGCATGGGGTCAGATGGACGGTGTTTGGGGGGGCACATGCAGATGTAGCTTTTGACCAGTGCGGTTATCCATGGAATCTTTGGCAGGAATTGGGAGTGTTCTCCCAAGTTTCCTGGCCATAGTCCAGCTTGAGTAATTACATTCTGCCCACCTAACTTTTATTTGTATTTCAATCAAATATAGAAATATTCTTGGTATTTTTCACTTAGTGGTTATGGAAAAAACAGTATGAATTCTTCTGTTCCCAAACAAACACTGGGTGAGTTAACTCTTAAATTCATTTAAAAGATACCATCCATTGGTAAGAAATAGACATTCTATAGAGTTTGTACACATTAGTACTTCAGTACCCAAGACTCATATAGAAGTCCATATACAGTCTTTGATTAATGATGACAATTTTTTTTTTTGAGAATTACAATGAGAGACCTGATGATTGGCTGCAATAGTTTTACAGTTTCAGGTCAAATCCATAAATATGATTGAGTCTTACTAAACACATTGGTATAGACACTGTGAAGAATGCAAAGAATTTATAAGTTTGAGAAAAGAAGAAATATCCATTTAACAACTAGAGAATAATATAAGATGATATTTAATGAAATGGTGGATTGTGTGGCATAAATGTAAGTGACATGGAAATTTGAAGCTGAGAAGGAGAAAACAGCCTGGAGTAGGATCGAAGGCTTTTTAGTTGGTGGGAGTTGAGCTGCATGTTGAGGGAGCACAGGGTTTGGAGCAGGGGAGAGGATCGGGAAGCCGGAGAAGGCATTTCCCAGAGGAGAAACAACTGAGCAGAAACACAAAGACCCTGGAGGATTGGAGACAAGGGTTTGTTTTCGAGAATAAATGGACGGTAAGATTGAATAAAGTAGTGATAAGTAACAAAAAGGCTTGACTACAAAGCTGTATACCACATCATTTTTCTACAAAAAGTGGAGAAAATAGACAAGTTCATAAGCAGAAACTAGACAAAATTTCTACTAACCACTAACACACCAAAACCTCCTCATGCAGACTCATTTCACATCGGTCTCCTGACCTACATATTTCTGTATCATTATATTTTTATTTTAATATAAAACAACCCAATATAATCACCTTGAGAAATAGCTTATGTGTATTACTCTATGTTTTCATTCCAGATACCATTTTAAGGCTTTCTTCCTGATTCAACATGTTGGTTATAGTTATCCCACTTTTAGAGTTTTCATTTGTTATCCATCCCGTCTTAGAAGCAACCTGCTCAAGCGGCTCTAAGTGGCCCCTAGGTGTCCCTGGGAGCTGCCTGAGGAAACATGTGCCAGCAAGGGGCTTTTACTCATGTTTCTGCTAGTTCCTTTCTCTCTCTTTCTTTCTTTGCTTATTTATCTATTTGCTTATTTATCTACTCCCTTATTTGTTTATTTATTTATTTATTGTTGTGCAACTACAGCTGTCTCCATTTCCTTCACCATTCCCCCCACCTGCTATCTTCTTTAAGCTAGCTGAGTCAAAGCTAGGGGAAAGAAATTGTGCGGGCAGCTTCAAGTGTGCGTGTTGGGACAATCACCTTGAATAAAGAATTGGTAGCCACTGATGCCTCTCCACAGACAGTGCAGGAAAATGATTCTAGGGTAAGCATTGCTCAAGCAATGCTGCCATTCCCTCCTCAAAGGTCCTATTTGGACACTGCCAGTACCACCATCTTTGTCCTGTAGTCAGGAGGGAAAGTTTCCCTCCATTCAGTCTCTCCTGTTTGTGTTCCAGGAGAGGGGTGCACTCTCTCACTTCCATTTCATTATGTTACCAGGAAGCCCACCTCTTCCTTGGATGGGCTAAAAAAAAAAACAAGTGAAAGTGAATTGCATTATGTGAAATAAAATGTCTGAGTAGCTCTGAGTAGCCCTGGAGAACAAAGTGGGAACAATGAGCCTGTTCTTCCCAGAGGAATGGAACACCTCCCACTAATGGGAAAAGGAGGCCCCAGCAGACAGAAGAGCAGGCAGTGTTCGATCCCTTCCAGCTAACTTTTGCAAATATTTCTCACAATATCCTTCTGACGCGCCCATGAAAACCTCCCTCCTCTCTGCCCTCTCCCCACTATCAGCTGTCCGAGCTCTGCTAATCACCAGGGTGAGGTTCAAGTGGTGAAAACATGTTACAGCAAGAAGAATGTACCCTTTGACCTTTTCCTTTTCATTGCCGGCTGCTCTGATATAAAATTTCCATTGTTGCAAGGCCAGGAACCATTTTTCGTTTTCCCCATCAGTGAAACCCACCCAGTGCTTATGGCAAGAGAGAAAAAAAAGCCCAATTACCTCGGGGAAAAATGGCTCTTCAGCAGCCTTTTGTGAAACTGATGAAGCCATGGCTTCCTATGTCCTATCACCTAGACTCAATCCTGGGGTCACCCATGCTGTATGTTGGACTTAAATGGTTTTCTGTTCTTGTCCTCTCTTGGCATGTAACTCTTAAAAGTATGGCTGCACTCTGTGGATGGGCTCCAGCCATCCTCAACCTGTCTTTTGATGTGTCAGGAGAGTTTCTTCTGACTCTCACAGAGTACCCACTGGAAATGGCCTGTGTTTTGTACTTATTTTTGGACAAGTGATGACTGGCCTCATAATCAATTGACTGTTAGGACTAACTTTTAGGTAGCCTTACTTAAGAAAGAGGAGGGGAAATCCACTCTTAAGAGACTACGCTTTGTTTTGCATGCAATTTGTGATACCACCTTGCTTACTCCCAGGTTCTACCTTGGTATATAGCTAAGTAAATGAAGCCCCCCTCTCTAGAGATAACTCAATCTAACCCCCAAACACTAACATTTCTATCCTTTGTAAGTGAGAGCCAAATTGTTTTTCCTGGTGTGGTTTCAAATGCTTTTTTCAGAGGGTAGATTGGAGTGAAGCAAGAGCAAGAGCAGGAAACAGGATACCTATTAGAAAGCCATTCCAGTAGTACGTGTAGGCAGTGCAGCCGTCTGTAGTAAGGTAGGTAGCAGTGGAGACAGAGAAATCAACAGCCGTGAGAGAGATTTAGGAATCAAATTAATGGAACCTAGTGATTGATTAGATGGGTGGAGTGAGGCAGCAGCTGGAAATGAGGATATTGATTTGGCCGTGAAAAGGAATAACAGGAGTCAGGAATTTCTCTCTTGATCCCTAACTAAAGCCTCTTCTGGAACCTTATTGGAAAGAACTGAATGTTATCCTCCTTGAAAATGCATTCCTAATGACAATTTTTCCTAAGTTGGAGGAAATGTATTATTATTACATTCATTGTGGTGAAGTGTGTTCATGGGATCCTTGATTTTCACCTGAAAAAAAATGTTAGTATTTTTCTTTCTTTCTATGATCTGTACTGGGCTCAAGGATTGCTCCAGACATAGCCAGTCTGGGATGTGTAGTTTTCACTGAGATGTCCCTACCCCACAACTAGTACGTCTTGGTTTACTTGATGGTAATTCGGAACCATCATCTTTCCAGATAAAGGACAGTATATATTTGTTGAGTGGGAACTCAAAGCCCTCTGCTGGATCATGGGGTCAGGGTGAGAGAAAAGGTTAAAGCAGAAATAAAATAATTTTAATGAACTTGTAATTTGGCAGGAGTAAAAAGATAGGTAAATACATAATTATCAAAAAGACAGATGGTGATGAGAGGCATAGAATTTATAAATTCTATATCCTCTTTTTTGGTATTTAAACTTACATTCACATGTCTATCTCCTGTGTAAAACCAAGAGCCCCTAGAAGTGTAAAGACGGTCTTTTATTTTTGTGCTTCCCCCTCCCCAGTCTAGTTCCTATAGGAGATGTGAAATTTTTTTTTTTTTAATAAAAGGAGTAAAGACAGGGCTTACCATGTTGTAGAATAAGGTTCTCACTTATCTGGGAGAAAGTACAAATTTTAAGGAAGGGTTCAGACATTCAGGGGAGAAAGCTGGAGGACTTCAGTCAGCCACTATGTTAATTAACCTGGAAAAGATGTACATAATGCTCCTTGTGACATAGGAAGAAGCACCTTTGCCTTAGTGTGAACGAACTGATCCAACTAAAGAACAGTAAAATTCATTATGTTTAATTGATGGACAGGGACAAATCCAGGGACTTTCTGTTCAATAAACCATCACCTGTGACCATGTGTTCATAGCCACCACACTGTAAGGTGCACATGTAAATATACCTCTAGCTTGCTTCACAAAGACAAGTTCTTGTGGGCTACTAATAACATAAGAATTTTCTTCAGAAGACTTATCACAGCTGAATGTGGCCAAGGAGAGGGAGGAATTGAGGAATAAACCTACCCTTAATAAAAGAAGAAAATAAGCCAAGAAAAGCAAACTTTGGGTTTAGTTCTTAAAGACCTTAGGGAAAAAGATAAAAGTACTTCTGCTTAAATACTTAAGGAATTTTCATATCTGAAAGACTTTACCTAACATTTAGTGAGGATATGTACTGTATGCCCTAGCACATATTTACTCTAAGAACACTTTCTTCGAATTTTCTTTGCCATTGTTATTCATTAGTATTTGTTTTCTTTCCAGTGCACTCCTAAATGTGGTTCAGGATTCAAGCATCGAATTGTTCTGTGCAAGAGCAGTGACCTTTCTAAAACATTCCCAGCTGCACAGTGTCCAGAGCAGAGCAAGCCCCCTACCCGTGTCCGCTGCAGTTTACGTAGCTGCCCCCCTCCTCGCTGGGTGACAGGAGACTGGGGCCAGGTAAGGCAGATGCTCTGTGGGCTCCTCTGAAGTGGCACCTTGAGACACCTAAACTCCTGACTGGTTCATTGTAAGGGCTCAGGAGTTGAGCAATAACACATAGAAATCTAGGTGTAAGTTCTGGCCAAGATGGAGGTGTAGGTAGAAACCCTTCACTTCCTTGTACAACCAAAAGGAGGGTAACAGCCAATCTAAAATCAATAAAAAACTACATGTGCCAGAAAATCAAATTGCATGGAAATCCAAGAACCACGGAATTAAAGAAACAGTCAAACAGAACAACTAAACCTGTAAGGTGGCAAATGGAGAGAAGCCACAGCAAGGCAGCAGGCTGTGCAGGGCAGCATTGACCTAAGGGGAAACTGAGACTCAGAGCTGCTTGTGGACTACAGTGGTTGCCACGGTGGGAGAAACTTCTAGTCTCACGTGAGAGTTTATTGGAACGTGGGCTAGAGCCGAGCAGGGGAGCTGCATTGTTCTCTCTCTGGCCCCTCAACATCAGGTAGTACCCAGCACAGCAAGGAGGGTTGCCCTGCCCCTTCACAACTTAACAGGGGCCCCAAACAAAGAAATAGGCCCAAGATGAAAGAACAGAGCAGAACTACAGAAAGAGAGCTAAGAATGAGGTGAGAGCCAACCTGTATGATGACGAATTTAAAGCCCTGGTAATCAAAATGCTGACAGAACTGATTGAGCTTGGTTGAAAAATGAAAGAACAAATGGAAGATATACAAAATGAAATAAAGCAAAATATTCAGGGAACCAACAGTGACAGGAAGGAAACCAGGACTCAAAGCAATGATTTAGAACAAAAGGAAGAAATAAACATCCAACCGGAACAGAATGAAGAAACAAGAATTTAAAAAAAAAATGAAGAGAGACTTTTGAACCTCTTTAACAACTTGAAATGTTTCAATATTTGAATTATAGGGGTGTCAGAAGGAGAAGATGAAGAACAAGACTTTGAAAACTCATTTGAACAAATAATGAAGGAAAACTTCCCCGATCTGGTTAAGGAAATAGACTTCCAGGAAGTCCAGGAAGCCCAGAAAGTCCCAAAGAAGTTTGACCCAAAGAGGAACACACCAAAGCACATTGTCATTAAGTTATCCAAGATTAAAGATAAAGAAAGAATCTTAAAAGCAGCAAGAGGAAAGGAAAGAGTTACCAACAAAGGAATGCCCATTAAGACTATCAGCTGATTTCTCAAAAGAAAGCTTACAGGCAAGAAGGGGCTGGAAAGAGGTATTCCAAATCATGAATGGCAAGGACCTACATCCAAGATTATTCTATCCAGCAAAGCTTTCATTTAGAATGGAAGGGGCAGATAAAGTGCTTCCCAGATAAGCTCAAGTTAAAGGAGTTCATCATCACCAAGCCATTATTATATGAAATGTTTAAGAGACTTGTCTGAGAAAAGGAAGATCAAAACTATGAACAGTAAAATGACAACAAACTCACAATATCAACAAATGAATCTAAAAAAATAAAAGAATGAAAACAAAAAAACTAAACAAACAACCAGGAACAGAATCAGAGAAATTGACATCACATGCAGGGGTTTCATTGGGGAGGGGGAAGGGAGGAATGGGGAGGAAAAAGCACAGGGATGAAGAAGCATAATTGATAGGTATTAAATAGATGGGGAGAGGTCAAAATGGTACAGGAAACAGAGAACTCAAAGAACTTACATGTACAACTCATGGACATGAACTAAGGGTGGGGTGGGAGGAAGCTAGGGGGTTGGGAGGTACAGGGTGAGGGGGGATAAAGAAGGAAAATTGGGAAAACCAATAGCATAACCAATAAAATATACTTAAAAGAAGAAATTTTTTTAAAAATACAAAGAATTTTAAAGTGCATATAATTTTTAAAAATCTAGGTATAAGGTGTGAATGTGAAACAAAACACAAGGAGCAGCAGCCAGCCATAGACACACTTAGCTATATCTCTCCAAACCTATACTCTTCTCTCACTTCTACCTATCCCTTGGAGTCTGGCATTGTCACTTAAAAGCAAAATAATCTAGATGGCCTGAGATTTGAACAAGCTACCAAAACTTTGAATTCTGTCCCAACTCTCTCAACTATTTCAAGAATAAATCATTTAACATCAGGGTCTTAATTTTCCTACTTGCAAAATAACTCCTCTTGACTTCCAGCCAAGATGGAGACATTGTGCCTCTGCACACAACCAAAAGAAGGACAACAACAAACTTAAAAAGAAAAAACAAACAGAACAGACAGAAAATTGAACTGTATGGAAGTCTGACAAGCAAGGAGTTAAAGAAGAAACATCCAGACTGGTAGGAGGGGCAGGGATGAGCAGCTGGACAGAGAGGACTCACAGCAAGGTAGCTGCAGCAGCTGGAGGACCTGGGCAGGCAAAGTGGTGGCTGGCAGAGTGGACAGTCTTCATTTGAGTGCAGATAAACTGGGAGGAACAGCTGGGGAGTGAGACAGACCATGCAACCCAGGTTTCCAGTGTGGGGAAATAAAGCTTCAAAGCCTCTGACTGCAAAAATCTGGGGGGGTCGAGGCAGCAGGAGAAACTCCCAGCATCACAGGAGAGTTCTGTGGTGAGACCCACAGGGTCATACAATGTACACAAACCCACTCACCCGGAATCAGTACCGGAAGGGCCCAATTTGCTTGTAGGTAGTGGGGGAAGTGACTGAAATGGCAGAGAGCTGAACAAGCAACACTGCTCCCTCTCGGACCCCTTCCCCACATGCAGCGCCACAAATCAGCAACATGGGTAACCCCTGCCCCCGGCAAACACTTAAGGTTCTATCCCCTACTACTTACAGATGTGCTGAGACCAACAACAACAACAACAAAAAGGCCCAAAGGGAAGAACAAATCAAAGCTCCAGAAAAAATACAACTAAGTGATGAAGAGATAGCCAGACTATCAGATGCACACTTCAAAACACTGGTAATCAGGATGCTCACAGGAATGCTTGAGTATGGTCACAAAATAGAGGAAAAAGTGAAGGCTATGAAAAGTGAAATAAAGGAAAATGTACAGGGAACCAACAGTAACGGGAAGGAAACCAGGACTCAAATCAACGGTTTGGATCAGAAGGAAGAAAGAAACAGTCAACCAGAACAGAAAGAAGAAACAAGAATTTTAAAAAACGAGAAGAGGCTTAGGAACCTCCTGGACAACTTTAAACATTCCAACATCCGAATCATAGGGGTGTCAGAGGAGGAAGAGGAAGAGCAAGACTTTGAAAACTCATTTGAAGAAATAATGAAGAAGAACTTCCCTAATCTGGCAAAGGAAATAGACTTCTAGGAAGTCTAGGAAGCTCAGAGAGTCCCAAAGAAGCTGGACCCAAGGAAGCATACACCAAGGCACATTATAATTACCCAAGATGAAGAATGAGGAAGGAATCTACAAAGCAGTAAGAGAAAAGGAGACAGTTACCTACAAAGGAGTTTTTGGTAGACTGTCAGCAGATTTCTCGAAAGAGACCTTGCAGGCAAGAAGGGGCTGGAAAGAAGTCTTCAAAGTCATGAAAGGCAAGGACCTACATCCAAGAATACTCTTTCCAACAAAGCTATCATTCAGAATGAAAGGGCAGATAAAGTGCTTCCCAGATAAGGTTAAGTTAAAGGAGTTCATCATCACCAAACCCTTATGATACAAAATGTTAAATGGACTTACCTAAGAAAAAGAAGATAAAAACCATGAACAGAAAACGACAATAAACACAACTCTCAACAACTGAACCCAGAAAACAAAAACAAAAGCAAACTAAGCAAACAACTAGAACAGGAACAGAATCACAGAAATGGAGATCACATGGAGGGCTATCAGCAGGGAGGAGGAGGGGAGGAAATGGGGGAAAAGGTTCAGAGAATAAGAAGTATAAATGGTAGGTACAAAACGGACAGAGGGAGGTTAAGAATAGTATAGGAAATGTTGAAGCCAAAGAACTTGTATGTATGACTCATAGACATGAATTAAGGTGGAGGGGGAATGCAGGTGGGAGGGGGTTGCAGGGCAGAGGGGAATAAAGGGGAGGAAATCGAACAATTATTGTAACAAAATATATTTTTAAAAATAAAATAAAAAATAACTCCTCTTAACCTCACAGAAAAGATGTGGGGGTATTGATTGACAGTCTGACACATCCAACTTCTGTTGGAGATTATACATTGGGAAGCAAGTATATAAGGCTTTTAGTATGTGCTTTTTTAAAAAACATTTTATTTATCCTTAGAGGGGAAGGAAAGGAGAGAGGGAAAGAAATATCAATGTATGGTTGCCTCTCGTGAATCCCCCACTAAGAACTGGCCTGCAACCCAGACATGTGCCCTGACTGAGAATCGAACCGTGATCTTTGGGTTCGCAGACCCACGCTCAATCCACTGAACTATACCAGCCAGGGCTAGTATGTATTTTAATATTAGACTCATTTCCAGTTTATGTCCCAATTCCTTTTCTTTCTCACTGGCTTTAAAATTGTGTTACCTTGCTGAAGGCACCTTAAGTCCTTTAAAACAAACTGGTATTTTGGGATAGAAGGAAAGTAAAGTATTGGGTTTTTGCATGTCAAAAAGAGAATCTACTGGGTCATGTTAAAAAATAATGCATTTCATAGAAGCAGTTACCGAAAGCCTGGCCAAAATTTAATATGGCTAAAGTCCAGTGGGATCTGTTGACCTCTTTTGTCATGTTTTGGAGCAGGCAAAGATTTTCAGTCCCCACTAAGGCAAGTAAATATACTTACTTGGCCCTGTTGGGAGACAAAAGAAATGCAGTCATAAAATAATTCACATTTGTATTTGTATAGCAAACAATAAATAATTTGGTTTTATATAATAGTATTTAATTTGCAAAATGCTTACAAGGAATACAAATGAGCATTGTATACAGTTAAATTTCCACCATAGAAATGTGATAGTGTCACAAATATAATTGATTATGCTATTAAAGAATCAGTACAAACATGCTCTCATAATTTTTATTTAAAGCAGGTAGTAAGTCCCTTTTTGAGACATTCTTCATTGCAATGTACTGTTAAGTCTCTTTAAAGTGCTTATGTATTCTCCCAGGCTCAGTGGATGTATTCTCCCAGGCTCAGGCTGGTGTGGCTCAGTGGATTGTGCACCAGCCTGCAAACCAAAGGGTCACCAGTTCACTTCCCAGTCAGAGCACAAACCGGGAGATCTATCTTTCACACTTTGAGATATTTCTGTTTCTCCCTCCCTTCTCATCGCTCTAAAAATAAATAATTAAAAAAAAGAAAAAATTTTTGCTTGTTAGTGATTTCACCAAATTAACAATTATCAATTTGAGATTATACTTTTAAATGTCATAAATCCTTTTCTTCTTATCTATATTTTAAATTCAGTTTCTTAAAATTGAAATTAACACTGAAAAAGCAAAGATGCTGTAGTACATTTTTATAGTGTATTTATATGTTTTTCTGCATTTAGATACTTAAAAGTGTCTGTGCATATCCTTGCAAGTCCTGTATGTGCTTCGAGAGTTTTTGCAAACAAAGTCACCCTCAGTTTGTTTACCTTGTAAACATCACCATGGCCCATCTTGGCACTGGTTAGCTCCTCATCCCTTTGATCTGCAATCTCACAGGCTTTCTGGTGTTCTGGGTGGCAGGCCCAAAGAATAGACCCAGCTGTCCACTCTTCAGCCTGGACAGCACATCAGTCCCAGCTGAAACTAAGCCACTCAAAGAGTAACTTCAATTCTGAAATAACTAAGTCCCTGAATAAATGAAAAAGAAGAGGGAAACATGCAAATTGGCTGACATCAGACCACTTCTCAGGTTTGCATGGCTCATAGCACCTTAGAGAACTTGGGGTACTTATTTACTCTATAAGAAAAACTGGCCCTGTCACTAGGCCCTGCAGCAGTCACTGCCGTTACACTGAACTAAGGTTTCGATCAGGTGCAGAGCACTAGTACACCATGGGTTTTTTGCCCAGAGTCTGTAGTAAGCAATGGGCAATAGTGATGTATCAGTGCTGGATTCTCTGATTACTCTACTTCCTCATGAGGACTTTCTTATTAGACTCCTATTAGAGTTCACCAGCACTGCTTGGAAGTGTTGGAATACTAATACAAGAAATCTTCATCTGATGATTTCTGGGAACTATGTTGCTTCTCCTTTCTTGGGTATAAACTGATCCTTAAATTTCCAAACCAGTTCCCTAGGAGAATGACCTAGTCATACACCTCCCCAAGATGAACTATGCATGGGCTTTAGATGCTGACGTACGTGATATTTGAAATGACATAGTATCTTTTTTACCTCCTGAAAATTGTTGAGATCAGTATTTTGTTTCTCTCTGTCTTTGGGTTTAGTGTTCTGCTCAGTGTGGCCTTGGACAACAGATGCGGACCGTGCAATGTCTCTCCTACACTGGACAGGCATCTAGTGACTGTCCAGAAACTGTGCGGCCTCCATCGATGCAGCAGTGTGAAAGCAAATGTGACAGTACCCCCATTTCCAATACCGAAGGTGAGTTTCCCAAGAAGAAGGGGCCTGTGGTCTCCAGTGACTCACTTGTGCTGGTTCCTGGGGTTTGAAGAGCCCCATCAAACCAGTGTTTGTATGGAGCACTTATGAAAGCTGTGTATATACTGGGTACGTGATCAGAGGACCTAAGTTTTTTTTCAGACTCTTCCACTAACTGTATGACCTTCTTAAGTCACTTAACATTTCTAGAGCTAAATGTACTAATCCATACAATGAGAGATTGGAATGGATAACCTCTAAAGTCACATCTGCTCATATGTGAAATGTGAAATGAACAAAATAAACTAACAAAATAGAAACAGACTCACAGAGAGAAGACTGACTGCTCTCAGGGGGAAGGGTGGGTTGGGTGAAAAAGGTGAAGGGATTAAGCAAAAAGAAAAAAAGCCCATACCCACAGACAATGGCGTGGTGATTGCCAGAGAGGATGGGTACAAGGGGAGGTGAAGGAGGGAAGCGGGGGATAAGTGGTGATGGAAGGAGACTTGGATTTGGGTGGTGAGCACACAATACAATATACAGTTGTTATATTATAGGATTGTACACCTGAAACCTATATGATTTTGTTGACCAATGTGACCCCAATAAATTCAATGAACAAAAAAAGTAAAATAGCCCTGACCAGTGTGGCTCAGTTGGTTGGGCATCGTCCTGCAAAGCGGCAGAGCAAAGGTCACCGGTTTAATTCCCAGTCAGAGCACATGCCTGGGTTGTGAGTGCGTCCCCACCTGAGGCATGCATGAGAGGCATCCAATCGATGTTTTGCTTTCACATCGATATTTCTCTTCCTGTCTTTCTCCCTTCTCTTCTCTCTAAAAAGAAGTAAAATCTTTAGAATAAATAAATAAATAAGAATGAAATACCATCTTTCATTGGGGTCTCTATAGATGATACAGGCCACTGCCAGAACCTTGGGGCTGGTTTAAACTATAATACCAAAGTTTAAGAAGTGATTCCTCTCCTAACATTTTATTATGAAAATAATAAAAAGTTTCAAACATACAGCAAAGTTTAAAGAATTGTACAGTGAATACCCACCATCTGGATTTTAGCATTAACATTTTACTCAACCTGCTTTATCATATGTATATCTATCTTTCCATCCCTCAAGGTAATGTTTTTGAAAAAAATATGCTCCACTTATTCAACCATTAATTCATTTACTCATCAAACATACCTACTATGTGCTAGGCAAAGATACTGTGAACGGAATGCAAGGTCCCTCTCCTCGATGGATCACAGTTTAGTAAGGGTGGCAACGTGCAAACAGGTAATCACCACAGTTGGGCAGCACTATCACAGGGCGGAAAAACGCCACAGGAGCCCACAGAGGAGGGCGTAATCAGCAGCAGCAGCATGGAGAAGACAAGCATGAGTGGGTCCCTTGGGTGGGTCACAGTTTGCCAAGAAGACATTGAGATTCTGGGCATTCCTGGCACAGAACAAGAGTGTACAGGCACAGCAGCGTGGAGGTTGCTCAGCAAGGCTGCCTTGGGCTGGCAGGTGAGCAGGCAGAGGAAATGAAGCTATAAAGAGAGAGCAGGAGGACTTGGGTTCAGAGGCTTCTGTATGCCATGGAAGAAAGTTAGGACTCTATGAGTTTAGGAAACAAGTGAAGGAAATTGGGGAGTGACATGCTTAGGACAGCAGGAGTGTCAAAAAGCAGAGGGAGGGCCTTGTGTGAGAGAAGAGTTAGAAAGTTGTTCAAGGAGTCCGGGCCAGAGATGATAAAGTCTTGACCTGAGGCAGATACAGCAGGGATCAAAAGGAGGGTAACAAATTGAAAAACAGGAAAATAAAATGGAAAGGAAAAAAAATAACTTCATGTACAATTAGACATGGGGCTAAGAGAGATGGAGGTGTTCAGTAAGACTCTGAAGGTTCAAAGATGATCATTAATCATGATAAAGAATTTAGGTGTCTATAGGGAAATCAAACACATTAGTCCCCAAAAGCCATAATAAAATAATGAAATTTGAATAAAAAAATTAAAAATAAAAATAAATAATGGAGAAGATTGAAGAAACAGGTGGAGATGATAATGAGAAGATCAGAAGTGGAGTGTCACAAAATTAAAAGTAGTGGGAAGAAAATAGGAAGAAAGAAGATAAAATCTACCACATTCCATGTTTGCTTTAGTTTTTTTGTTGGTTTTTCTTTTATTTTTTATTTCCGAAAGCCTGTGGCTAAAAGTTGAAGCAATTATAGGCTTGATCTCGACAGACTGCCCTTGATGAGGGCATTGCAGCTAAGAGTGAATTACAGACACACGGGGCATCACTGCACTGGAAATACTGCTCAGAGGCATTTGTTAAAGTGCACCTGGAAGCCCAGACCGGCCTACTCAAGCTCGCCTGAAATTCTATCCCAAGTGCCATTTTGTTCATCTTTATGCAGTTTCAAGTTCCCTTGTAGTTTATATGATGAGTCTTTCCAGCTTCTCAGCTGCATAAGACACTTGGTCATCTAGTATTTGTTGCTGCCAGCTAATGATTCATGGTGTGTTGTGAGCTGGTTACCAACCCGGGGAAGGTGTGGTTGGTGTACAACAGTTTACCAGCCCTGCTGTCCAACTGTGGCTTTGGCGGGTCTCAGTCTCCCTCAAGTGAATGACTGTAAGAAAGCCTGGGAAGCTCCAGACATCTCATAAAGTCCCCAGAACAAAACAGCTACTGAATTTTGGTTTTTAGATGGCATTCAATGTATTAAAGTCGGTGAAAGGAATGGTGAAGGTGAAACCTTTGATTTCAGGGAGGTGAGGAAGACCCTTTATGTTCTTCTTATCCATTTTAAAGAGCTCATAACCCGCCTCGGCATCCAGGTTCACATTCCTGTATGTTTGGTTTAGAGGGAACTCTGGATTTGTGTTGGGATCATGTCACCTCGAGGTTCAATATAGTGGCATCCAGGGAATGAGACTAGGTAAGAAGAAGCTGAGAAAGCAGAGAAAGGAGAGGCTTAGTGCATGGCGGGATGAAATCATTCAAGTTCCCTAGTTGGTAGGTATCACTGCTTTGAGGATTAAAGGTTAGTGTGCTGTTCCCAATGCAATGAGAATATCAAATAGAATATCAAATTCTGAAGCAAAACCTATTTCATCCAGTCTAAATATGTACAGTGTCCAGGGCTCAAGTACGATCTTATTAGGAAAACTACAGCTGAGCTCACATCCTAGCCTGTACCGTGCCTGTACTGTACCTGCACACGTGCATGCACAACCCTTGCCCTCTCCCTTCCCGCCCGGTTCTGCATCTCCACGGGCAGTTTGACAGGCACAGCTGGTTGTGCTTTTGTAATCCAGAAGGTAGACCCTTAGGTACGTAGGGTCAAAACTCCCTACTCACTGCCTTCTTCCTCTGAATGTCATGAAGAACCTACAGGCACAGAGGGCATGCATTCTCCAGAGAAAGATGCCGAATTGTCCAACCAGGTCATGGAAAGATACGTCCCTGTGTATCGCAACTCATTTCAAGGATACAACAATTAGGCTTCGAAAGGTCTTATGAATTAAATATGAGAGTTCTGCATTTTGGGAGTCGCTCTTATACTCCTTGGACCAACCCAAGGCATCAAAGTCACAATGAATCTGAATCCAACTCCATCCTACATTCATAAGCCTCTGTTCAGTACAAGTATTTTGAAACCATGTCTTTTAGGTCTGGGTTTTGAAAGATTAATGTAAAGCAGCTAGGGAAAAACCCCATTGGAACATCAGGGATAAGTAGAGTCAGGTGTTGCCTGTGAAACGGGTTGCCTAAATTTTATCATTCAATTCTACCAAAACCCAAATTACCAGCAAGACCCAGAAAACCTGGCAAGTGACTTAAGATGCTAAGAATGGGTCTAGTTCACATCGCAGAGCCTAGTGGCTAGTTTTCAGCCCTGGATATATTCCCAAGTCTCCCCAAGAAGAATTTAGGGATACTCCTTAAATTATCTCTCCCACCACAGTTCTCTAGCCTCAGGTGAAGTGAAACTTTTTTTTTTGAATTGGGAGATTTTTTTTTTAAGGGAAACTAGTTAGGTCAGCAAACTATTCCTAGAAGCCACACAGTAAAGACCTCCCACTGTTCCAAGAGCTTCACAAGAAGAAAGGCAGAGTGTCTTGTCAGTATCCTCCAGGAGGGCACTTAGCTGTACATGATGATAGAAGAGCAATCTGGCTCCTTCATCGTAACATCTTTGACCCTTCTGGCTCAGATTCCACTCCTTAAAAAGCACTAGACATAGTGTGTCTGTATGAAGAAAATGTGATACATCTATCACAGAGAAATTACATTACAAAATATTCTACCTAAAGAATTCCTTTTGCTAGATCTCCCAATGTAATTGTTTATTTTCAGGTTGTGTATTACTTGGTCATAGAGAGACTCTTACTTCATAGATATTGTAGATATTAGCTAGATATCAAAGCCGACTGAAGATGGGTTAGAAATTAAAGCAGAACTTTTCTGTTACTGTTTTGATTTCAGTGGGGAGATGTGGTTTAATTTATGTGCAACTTGTCCAGGAGGGTTTTATCACCAATGTAAGCTGTGTGTTGGCTTAAAGGTGGGAGTAAAAAGGCTGTTCCACACTTTCAGTGGGCTCTGAGGAGGAGGCACCCTAGAGAGCGATAAATTTTATAATTAAGGTCCCTCAACTGCATCAGCAAATTCCAGAGAGTCATTCCAAGTGCTCAACAAGTCAGTCTTCTCTAAGCTGAGAAAGTGACAGAAGGGCTGAATATCCACATAATTTAAAACTGGTACTAATGTTTTTAGTACATTTAAGCTTCTATAATAATAGGGACTTTAAATGTCTTGGTGTGTCTAAAATCACCTTTTACTCATGTAATTTTACACAATTTACGGATAAAAATAGAGCTGAAGAAAAATGCTCAAGCTATTCTGAATGCCTGTGACCTAGAACCCTCCTTTCAAACAACATCCTTCCCTGCTCTAAGGTGGCAGAGCAGACCTCCTGATAATGGCCCACAGGTTGACTTACCATCAGTGGTATCAGCCAAGAATACAGAAGTTTTGGCAGGCAGAAACCTTTTTTTTTTTCCCACTCAGATGCTAAAAATGCTGCCAAAATAGAGTGGTTTTGGAATCAGACAAACCTGAGTTCTGGTCTCAATTCTTCAGCCAACTAGCTATGTGACCCAGCTAGTTGGGTCATGATCTTTTGGAGCTTCGTTTTTGCCATCTGTGTAAAACTGATGTTTTATATATTTAAAGGGATTAAATATATAAATACATAAAGCCAACTAAGACAGTGCCTGGCACATTGGAGGCATTTGGTAAATTATTTTTAGTGTTATTATTATTAGCTTAAGCTCTTACAGAGTTAAAAGACAGAGAATAAAAGACCAGTCAGAGTTGCCTTTGGTGAATAGATTTTCATCATTCCAAAGTCTGATTCTTCCAGGTGGTTGGTCCCTAGAAAGCAAAACCAAAAAGTAGGAAGGGAATGGCCCTTGCACCTCCTCTTTTGTGGGAGCCTACACTCCATCCGGGCTGAATGTCCTAGAGCCCAAGTGTCACCATTTTAGCATCTTATCAAAGCCCAACCTTGGATCGGCCCCACCCAGTCATAATCTACCTGCTCCCTGTTTAGTATCCTTCTGTCTATTTGCTCATGCGTGCCAATGTGTCACCCTTCCTGGGAGCCTATATACATATCGATGTGGATCGCAGACAAACAATACAGCATGGCGGTCTCTCCGGCAGGTGTGTCAGAGGCAGTAACGAGAGAGCCAGTAAGGGAGCGCTCCGTCTACGCCCGGTGCCGCGGCGCGTGCTTTAGACGTTTTACCTCCTGTAAGGCCCACGAGAAAACATGAGCTGGTCTTATCACTATCTGTTTCTCCGATGAAAACGTGGCGCTTTGGAGAGGCGAAGTAACTTGGCCTAACACACACACATACACACACTGGGAGGGGGCAGAGCCAGAGTCCACCCCAGGGCGACTCCAGGCCTGCGCTTCTCACCGCAGTTTTGTGCTGCGGGAGCAGGCAGGTCCCGGACGGTCTCACTCGGCCCCTGCCTCCGGAAGCTTGATCCTGCTTCCGGGACCAACTCCCTGCTTTTGATCAAGGTAGTCAGAATAGAGTTCGTTGGGAACGAACTTAACGGAGCTATTGGGAAATTCAGAGATGGACACACAGGCAGTCGGTGCCGCAGCTGGTACCCAGTCTGCCCTTGGGCTGGACACCGCTGCTGGCTCGGGAGCAGTGCCTCATCTCCAGCACCCACCTTAAACACCCGAATCCCCAGTATTTGTATTTATGAGGGCCTGAATGGGTGAGTGGAGTAGTTGGAGGGAAAAACAATTTATAAATATCGTATTTTACTCTATACTTCTTATGTATTATTGAATCTGATTCCAAAGTCTAAATCTATAAGAAAAAATCTGTGATGTTGCTTGTATTTTGCTCTTCTCAGAGTTTTCCTGGTCCAGTGACTCCCAGAAATGGACTAATGAGCCTCCCAATAAAGTCATATATATTCCTAGGAGACATTCCTTATTTGGTCGGCAAACTGACTTGTGCCTAGAGGACAGAGTTTTCCCTATAGTAACCTAAATGTTGCATCCTCATTGAGAAATTCAAAGTGCAACTCACTGTTATCAGCTAGTAACAGATAATCAGTGATAGGTGTAGCCCTGGCCAGGTGGCTCAGTTGGCTGCAGTGTCCTGTTGTACATCATAAGGTTGTGGGTTTGATTGCCAGTCAGGGCACATACCTAGGCTGCAGGTTCAACTCCCAGTCAGGTGCATACCAGAGGCCAGGATGCATATGAGGGGCAACCGACTGATATTTCTCTCTGTCTTCCTCTCCTGCCCCTTCTCTCTCCCTCCCGTAAATTTCAATAAATATATATCCTCAGGTGAGGATTAAAAGAAAAACTCATAGGTGTCATAATGACACTAGTTCATTGTTCTTCCCTAATCAGGGACTTGCTGTGCAAGATGTGACAGCATAGGGTACACATGTTACAGACAGGATGAGACTTCTCATCATCCCTCTTTGCTGAGGAGGAAACTCAGGTACGGAGAGGTTAACCAGTTTGTTCAGTCATAAAGTTCGTAAATGATAAAGCCAGGATTAAACCCAAGCAATCGGGCTTCTAATTTTATCTCCTTGTACTATTAAAACAACCAGTCCTTCTCTATCTGATTATCAGCTAAATCATTTTTATATTTTGGCAAAGAAGGCCAAAGCTAAAGTGTGTTTTGTGTTCCAAGCCGCCCTGTGAAGGCCTGTTGCAGAGTCTGTGCGCCAGTGGCGTCCCCGGGGCGGGCTGCCCATGCAGAGGGCTGGCCAGGATTAAAGGCCAGGGAACCTGCGCTGCCCCTCTCATTGCTGGTGCTCAGCTCTTCCTGCCGTTTTAGTAACTGCGTTACTTTGACAATATATCCCTCTTGGTTACACTGATAAAACTTTTTTCTCCACAAAAATATTCTTAGTCTAAACTTTTTTTTTTTTTTGGTTACTTTTGACTGGTCATGACAGAGAGGAAAAGAAAAAAAAAAAAGAAACAAGTGATCTCCAAATTAAAATATGTGGAGATCTTTTCACCTCAAATTCAACTCAATAGACAAAATATTGACTGATTTCTTTATTTTAGTGTGAAGTTTAAAGAAAGTTTTTACATCTCTTCTATCTGCTCTCAGTCAAAATGTTAACTTACTGAGAATTGTATTGTGGAAAGTTTCTATTCAAATTTCTAACTTCTATTCTCTCTGTAAATCAAATCTTGATTAAGAGAGTTCAGTGGTAGCAGAGCTTACATTTTCAGAGGGTTGGAGATTATAGTTCAAAGGTTCAGGTCTTTCACTGAAAGAGCCTTGAAAGTGAGATTGGTGCAATTGTTAGCTGACTTTTCAGTAATAAGAACTGTAAACTTTCCTCTGCCTTTGTACTTAATTTCCCAAGCTTATCACATGGCTCATGTACCATGTACATGATATCTTAGTGCTTTGGAGAATTTCTGAAGCCAGAAAAAAACAAGCAAACAACAACAACCAGAGCACTGCTCTGTTCTGCTAAACTGCACCCAGTGTCCTGCCTGATTCTAATTACCTTCAGCAATTTACCCAGGATGCTGCAGTGTAACCACCTGGAAACATGAGGGCAGAACTTTGATTCTGGGAGGCATATGGAAATTTAATTACTAGGTTTACAAAGTATTTAAAATCCCCAGATAAAAGTGACCAGAGGACTGGAGAAGAATATCATTATTAGCAGTAGAGGGGTTCTTGGGGGTGGTGGGGTCACTGGGAATCAAAGGCCCGTGTCCCCTTCTCTGAGATTCGGCCCTCAGCCCCCTCTACTGTAACCAGCCTCAAGAGATGGAGAAAGAATCATTTGTTCACCTTCTGGCTGCAAGAAGTGCAGGCTTCAGGCTTTCACTGTGGCAATTCTAGCACCGAGGAGAAAATACACATAGGAAAAAAGAAGGCCATGTCTCACTTCCAAATTAAAAAAAGACATTTCTACATGTTTCCATAACCCACAGACTGCTGCCATTTGAGGCCAACCCCTCAAAGTTTCCCTCTTTGTCTAGTGTCATTGCTGAATCCAGGCCACTGTCAGCGATCCTTTTCATTCACTCAAGCCCATCCCCACGCCTCACAGATGCAGCCATTCTCTCGAGACATGTGTACTTTGGTATCAAACAATGCAACTCATGTTTGATTTTGGATAACCTTGCACTGCTGAATAAAATAACCCTTGAGAAAGAAGCAATAAAAGCGCTGTAAGAAAAATGACTCATGTTTCGAAGCTGTCTAAAGTGATCACTTATCCAAACAAATGGTAATTCTTTCAAGACATAGTGGGCATGCACCATACTTATAAAAGTCTGGGAGGAAAGCCTTACAATCTTTTTTTAAAATTTGTGTTAAAATGTATCAAAAGAATGTTTCTGGTAGGCTGTCCCAGACAGGGTAAGCTTAAAAATAAAAACAAAAACCACATGGATGTGAAAGCCAAGGTGGATTGGTGCAAGGGGAGGTCCTCGCTGAACATCCGGGAGGGCTCGTTGGCTTGTTTATGCGCTTGTTTATGTGCCTCTAATTGTTTTCCATTTTCTGCCCCCATTTGTTAGAGTGCAAAGATGTGAACAAAGTGGCTTATTGCCCACTGGTGCTGAAGTTCGAGTTCTGCAATCGCGCGTACTTCAGACAGATGTGTTGTAAGACCTGCCAAGGACAGTGACCCACAGAAAGCCAGAGACAGAGCCGTGTCATTTCGTCGTGGAAATGTGTCCATCAAAGGGAGCCACCCAGAGGAAGAGGATTCATGTCCTTGCAAATACATTACCCTGTGGAAAACGTAACCACTGGTCAGCCCTAGCTGACAGGATTTCAATATTATTTTAACTTCTGTGAAGTAGGATTTATTGATCCAAAGTGCTGGACACAGTTTCAGGAGGGAATGCCAGATTGGAGAGGTCCAAACAACACAGGGAGACTTGCTTACTGTGGAACGTTTGTGTTCTTTCGAATAAATCCAAGAGCCTGTTTACCTCCTTGGACCATTAAGATAATTTTTATTATAGACTTAGCAATGACACTGAATCCATTTGTATTTAAAACTTTAAAAATGTAGCTGTTATGATTTGGTCAATTATGGAAGTAAAGAAGATTCAGAAATCTTAAATCATAGCTTAAAATATTTACTATACTTTATCTCACTACCACAGCACCACGATTTAAATTCTAAAAATGGGCTTTGAACTGTAATTTAAGGAGCAATTATAAATCAGAAGTAATGAAAGCTTGTATGTTTTTTCTTCCTTCTACTTAATTTCCTTAAGAATAACCCCCCTGTTCTGAACACTGCTGTGAGCCATATATAAACTATATTAAACTGAACAACAGTGAAGGACTTAGTTGAAAGCAGCGCATCCGTTACTGCAGCTGCGCAGGTCTATAAATCCAGTGCTAAAAGACTGTGGCCAACCTGCCATTGTGCAAGTGAAGCCGAGAATTCCATTAGAACTTTAGGAGAAAAAACATTTCAATGTCATGCCGAAGCCGGGGGGGGGGGGGGGGGGGGGGGCGGCGGCGGACGGGACGGGGGGATGGTACGGCAGAGACTGAAGCACCAGGCCCTTCGCTGCCTGCCGTCTCGCAGGGTGTCTCGGCTCTCAACCTGGGTCACTCCGACTCAACTTGTGTTTACATCCCCTCCAGCCACAGAGCAGCCTCTGCCCCGCAGGGTCGCTGCACGCATGTTAGGCTTACTGAGACGATGCCGTGCAAAAGAGAGACGGGCTCAGTGACCACCAGGGTCCTGCTCAGACCTTTTTGCTGACAATTGCGATGGGTTCCATATGTCCCTTCTGCGGCAGAAGGGCATTTATTTATATGGGAGCAAGTGTGTGTGTGTGTGCGGGCGCTTTGGAGTGTATGGGTAGGTGAGTGTGCATGCGCATGGTGTGCTGTTTCTGTGAGGTTTGAAGTAGGCAAGGGATAACAACCAAAGAAGGAAACGCATGAAGACTAGAGATCATAAAGCACAATTTTAAGAATCATTCAACCAAGTATTTTATATTTTTATGGATACTCTGAACAGCAACTAAATGTGAAACCCAGTTTCTTGAGCAAGTCAAATTCTAGAATCAAATCGACCTGATTTAAATCGACTTGCTCATCTATTCTCTACCCACAAGTTTCATATCACACTCATCAAAATATCTGACAGTGGAAATTTCTTTAAAAAAGAAAGAAGAAAAAGAGGGTACTTGTTTCTTACTAACATTTTGTACTTGAACACTCGTAGCTAGCGGCGGTTCTTGATGCATGTGCCTGTGGCCTGCACATGTGTCCACTGTGCTATACCAGCACCTCCGACTCCAACCTCATGGCTACTTTGTAAAGATGCTACATGCAGTTAGAGAGTATATTTGACTTCAGTCCATCACTGCGCTCAGAGACTCCACGTCAGGCCTATGGCTTATACCATGACCTAATGTGGATGACTAGGTGCTATCAGGAAGGAAGGGAGACTCACAGACTTCAAACACCATCCTAGACTTCAGCTTTGCTGTGGAGAGTCAGCATGGGGTGTTGCTCTGCATGCTCGGGCGTGGTCATTTGTGGCTCATCACCAGCTGTCTCCACCCCACAGCTCACCTCCCTGAACCCCCCAGGGAGAGCTATTAACAATACTGAGAGCTGTTGCCAGGGCCCCTGTCTGTGCTGCCCTTACAAGAGCAGCCTCAGCGCCATTTCAGCCATTCAGTTGAAGGGAGGGCTGCCCATGGGCAGCGTGGCCCCAGCACCGAATTTCCCTGGTGCTCTGCAAAGAGCAGCTCACTTGGTGCTAACGTGCCCTGGTGAAATCAACAAAAGAGGAGTAGTTTCTGTGGCATTTTAGACACAGATTCTATTTGGATCTGCTTTTCTCCAATGTAAAGATCAGCTCCTGCTTGTCTTTTTCAAAAAGATTTATGTGACTGATGAAAAACTATTTTTTTAACCTGGAAACGACCACTGTGAGCACCATCCTTCTGGGCACCCTGCAGGCCCCCAACTGGTGCTGGGAGGGGAGGGCAGCCAGGGTTCCCCCTGGGCTGCACATGGGCACCGAGGAGCTCCCAGGGCCAGCATCAGGTCCCCTGTTCAGGAGGAACCAAGCACAGAATGTAACAGGACTAAACATCTTCAGATAGGCCCTGAATTTAAATCTGAGTAGGGGAAAATATCTCATTCCATGGCACGTTGCAATACCGCTGCTACTCTCTAGTCAGTCAGTGGCTATGTAATGTTCTTTTCCTAAACAGTAACAATAGGGTCATCTGTGGAGGCTGAGCCACAGGGGCAGACCCTCCAAAAATAGTGCGCCATATAGACTACTTAGGGACCCCCAAGGAAGCTGGGACCCTGCGGCTAAGAGCAGAACCTCCCACTGGCATAAAGGCCTGCCCTACGCTGAAAGGGAAATGTAGCCAACTGATTCAACCCCTTGCGACACATAGGACTCTCCAGTCAGTTCATTTCAGTAGGAATTTTTTGAGTGAATGTCACATAGGTATCCTTAATAATACAGAATGAAATTACCTTTGTACTATTGTGATTAGTTGTTGCTTATATTTTGTACTCAGTATTAATGTGGTACACTGTTACTTTTATTTTTTGCTTTTGTAAATTATATTCTAATTTATTGCCATGTTTCCTAACACTCGTCCTTCATTCATTCTCCTGCTTGTACTGAAAATGAAAAGTCATTGTAACACTTGATGGAGTGAAATTCCACACCAGGCACAGATTTTTTAACATAGATAATTTAGTAAAAATAAAAATTCAGCTTGTAAGAATGATTCAGGCGGGAGTTGTCTATTTCTTGAATAGCTGGTATTAAACTTGAGGTAGGAGGAATCTGTCCCTTGGAATACCACAGCTACATTTCTCCAATTTTCCAGGTGGTATTCAGGATTGAGTTCATTCGAATCTTTATTATTATTACTCTTATTGCCCTCTCCAGGGATTGCACCTATTTTTATGTCAGCGATATCTAAACGCAAGGGCTTTGCGTACTTCTGGTGGGGTCGTATCCTCAGATCCCACCAGTCAGCTATTCTAAGACTAGAAAGGAAGTCCACATTGGCCACGGCCACTTACCTTCCATAACCTAGCCCCTTCCACAACTATTTGCCCCTGCTTTTATCTTTCATGTAAATTCTTTAGCATAGGAAAGAATGCTGAACAAAAGAATTCATACTCGAAGTATTTTTCAGAGTCAACAGGGAGCATAGAAACATTGTCTTTGCTGAGTTGGGGACACTATCGTATGCAAAACTCAGCAGCCAATAGGCTGCGTAGTTATTTGAGTATTTTCACAATGACAGCTTCATCAATTACATAAGAAGCTATGGAAAGCCCAAGCATGGTTGTGCTTAACCCACTTAGCCTCGTGCCTCGCACACACATGTTCAAGCTTACACATTAGAAGTCAGGTGAGATGATTAGATAGTCTCAGGGAGTATTTTCACAACATCATCCCAGAAGCCCAAAGTGGCCTAAGTGTTATGAAGGAGTAGTTAACGAGAAGACCGTGGGACCCACCGCTTGAACTCCCCACCGCATTCTCGAAGAGCAGATCTGCCAGAAGTTGGAGAGGAGGAATGCCAAGAAACAAGGCCTGCCTTAGCTTAGATCCCTCAAATTCAAGTCTATCTTTTCACCTATGGCTGTTTTCCAGCTTTCAGTTAAATGGTTTCTTTCCCCTTTGAAATATCTAAAGCAGGGGTCCCTGATCCATGGCCTGTTAGGAATCAGGCTGCAAGCAAAGCGCACCTGAGTTCCACTTGCTATCACCCCACCAACCCCTGCCTTCCACAAAACTGGTCCATGTTGCCCAAAAGGTTGGGGACTGCTGATCTAAAGCACACTGTCCTACTTAGGACACTGACCCCAAGACAATCTGCCCTCCCTGCAGTTTCCACCACCCTCTGGGGGGCACTTGGATCATTCCTAAGAATGTATGCCCCAAAAGGCCAGGTGACATCTTTTTCAAGTAAATTAGAAAGAAAGTTGACCTTGGCGAGAAAAATGTGTGGATTGATTTGACTAGGATAAGATTCATTACTTTTTAAAAAGTGGGGAAGAAATGTCATAGAAAAAAGAGGAGATCGGCCACTGAATAGAGAAGTGAAGGAGAATCTGCATTTGGAATACTGTCTTATTCGTATCATCAGAAAATGTGGAATAAACTCACAAAGGTTTTGTAAGAGAACAGCTGTTCACAATGGTTTTATGCCTCAGACTTCAAAACCTCAAGCCAGGACTTAAAAGGAAAATGGTCTTTTCTCCCATCTCTTTCTCACAGGGTTATTTCTAGCATTTCTTGTTCCTCATTCTATCCTCAGACAGGATCTGAGGCCAGAAATGGAATGGTGGTTTGAGGGTTGGCTTCTCTCTGGAGGGGAGAGGGAACTGCCATTAAGCCTGGATTGTCTTTTTGTGGATGGCTCTCCTCAGCCCACTGAAAGCTTTGAGCTGCATGGGTGATGACAACTAATTTTCAGGGCAACATCCTGTGTTCACTGGAATGACACTGGGTGGTCACACAAGGGCCCAATAGCACCCGGCGTCCTCCACTCCAGGGACTGGGGAGCCTGAATAATCCTGTGTCCTCTGGTAATGGGACATCAGCCTGACCAGTCCAGCTTCCCGCCCCCCCCCAAGACCTGAAGGCTTGTGCAGTTCAATCAAGAGGTCTCTTCTTGGATCTTCGCTTGGCTATCTTACCTTATAGAGGAGTTTCACGTGAGAAGGGGCAAGTTCTCACACCAGCTCCAGACCCCCCAGAAGTCACAATGTCTCCCTCCAGTCAATGGCTCAACACTGGGTGGCTTCTACTAGATCCAGAACAGGAAACGTCTCAGAGGAGCCTGGTCTGCGTCCCCAGGGAAGTCGACTATGAGCAGTAATTGTGAGGAGGCCCCTAAGGTCCCGAGCAAATGGAGCAGTAGGGCTTTCCAGCCCAGGCTGGGTGTGGCCTCTGTGTCTAGAGAGTG